TCTGGCAAATTTTAGAGGGACTATTCAGCAAAGTCTCAGTTCTGGTTCGAAGTATTAAAATTTGGATTATTACTAATTATAATATAATTCTCTCTGCTTGGTGCTGTTTACACTCATCAACAACTCGGCATCACTGAAACTAGTGTTACTAGACGTATGTGATCAAACACTGTATTGTTGTTAGGATAGTTTTACCACTGGTACGTACTGAGTATTTATTTCAAATTAGTGGAGGTTTTTATTCATTAGTTTCCTCGGTAAAATTTTCACAATCTGAGCACCAAATTTTATATATCCCATCGTTCATTTGGGTGTCTTCCAAAAACCTTTATATGACAAAGAATTTGTATTGGAACTGTTGAAAAGAACATAAACATTATTAAGGAAGAATGTATCAAAAAGATAACCAATAACGTTGTTATTGAGTAAGAAGGCCTGTTAAATTCCTGATTTCAACACTTTTCTCTCTAGGTCCAAAGAATAAAATGTTTGCTGAGAAATGGGCATAGTTCATCAATATTAGTCGAGTTTAGTGCCTAATCTTTTTATTAATTATTATAATTCTTATAAATATTTGTGAAACCTAGCTTATCAGAAGTGCTCGAATAAACTACTGCTTTTTAAAACAGGAGTCACAGTCAGTAAGCCCTAAGAAAAAAGCCTGAAATGTCACCTGTTTTAGGGGAGTGAAACCAAAGATAAATATAGAAATCAGTTAATTTTCTGTATTCATTACAAACAGGTGTACTCAGCTCACGTTTACAGTCTAAAGTGTCTAAATCAGGAGTTGATATTTCTAGTAAGTGAATTTAGGTGATCTAAAACCTGCTACGCATTACGAAGCGTAGAAAAAAAAAATCGTCCACTAACCTATAAATGTCAGCAGCAGTACTCATGAAGTCCCTCTCAAAGTGTTCCATTCCAGTGTTAATGAAGACAGGTGATGGAGGGTGAACCTTGGGTTCCCTTAATGCTGATGACTTGCTCATGATGAAAGAAACTGGGGGCGCTTCTTCCTTTCATGGATTAATCTGAATGTTTCCTATTCTTCAGGTACTGTATGACTCGTATGGGTTTAGCGTTCCTTCATGTATTTTATAATAATTAGTCTTTCATTCACTTAACTTACAAAAGGCCCTTAACAAGAGAACTGCGTACGTAGCACAAAATTCAGATGAATTATTAACTGGAACACGAGTGTGCAGACAGTCATCACAAAATCTAACAATAATCTTATTTTCAAAGCTGACCTTCCTCAATTTACGAAACAAAATCCTCTTAATTAATTAAACGTGAATTTAAAAGTGTCTAGACAGGAAGCCAAGTAGACAGCCACGAGGAAAAGCAAGAAACAGACAAACTCTAGTAGAAATTTTAAGTCAAAGAGGAACGTTAACTTTATACGTTTTAGAGATCCCATACAAGAAAGGAAGTTTTAGAATTGGGAAGTTAATTTGTTTCGTGGTTCACAAAATTCCAGCAAAAAACTTTTAAGTTTGGTGCTATACGTAGATTACCCCAAACCTAAAGGATTGTGACGTGCGTCAGCATGAGCCACAGTTTTGTATCTTTATTCCGAAACGTTCCGCCTACACAATAGGCTTCTTCAGTTGAGTACAGAGGAGGCAGCAGAAGCAGTAGAGATGTGAAGACGTAGTTTTGAGGCGGTCAGTCCCTCAGCCTGGAGAGTTTTGCTACATAGTCTGGAACAAATGATATTTATCAGATTATCTACGTTATATTACATGAATGATGAATATCAAGAAGTTTTGAATGCAATTTAGTTTTGGTTTAAAATTAAACTTTTGCAAACGCTGTTAACTTTTGTGAATATATCAGTTCATAAGAAAAAATACCGTTAAAAAACTTCCGCTGATTTAACAATTCCTGATGTAAAGCAACACACACACACACACACACACACACACACACACACAAATTAATATCAATAAATCATAAAAATATATATATATATATAAACATAACTAAAAAAAAATATAATATATATATAATATACCCAAATACAACATCACAATTAGCAAACTACATTAAAATAACACTTTCAACAAATCCATACCTAATAAATTTCACCATGTTATACAAATATAATTGCACCAAAAGAATCTAACAAACTACCTAACCTATTATAACAATGATATAAATTATTATATACTAAACATATAATATATATTTTAGATTTGTTTAAATAATTTATATAGTCGTGCGAATGTAAATGGTCAAGCAGTGAACCATTATTAGTTTTCGAAATTTCTCTTACGAATAGATTTTTGCGAAATTATTGATTAAAATTTTATTTGACCAAAAAACTTAGAAAACTTACCTAACCTTATTATAACAAGAAAAATTTTTTTTAGCCCCAACCAACTAAATATATTTAGATTTGTTTACAATAAAAATTTTAAAACTAAACAAAAACAGTGAAAATACTTTTCGTTAGGTCAGAAATTTTGGGGGAAATTATTGCATAACAAATTTTTTC